AACATCGTTGCAGACGAACAAGCTTAGCTGCCTACTGCAGCGAATGCGGGTTTTTCTTCGAACAAGACGAACTTTTCGAAGAGAGAACTAACCACGTGTGTTTCCATATTGTTCCCGAAATAATACAGAAGCGCAGATTTTACAAACTAGCAACGCTCCTTTGAAGTACCCATCGGCTAGATTAACGATAGTGCGAATGTTAGACACAAGCTTGTTCCAAAGTTAAAAAATTTGCAATTATTCGAATCTTTTTGTTTTATTTTTACCGAATCCAGTCTCTTTGGTGACATGCCAACCTGACTTCTTGCTCTTCTCACCAATCCCTCTGACCTCTGGGCAGCAAATGCACGTAATCTTCCACTTTTTCGGAGATTCAGACATGATATTCACTGCTTGCACTCTTAAGGCGAAAACTTCAGCATAAATAAATTTCAACTGACAGTAAAGTAAGTAAACAAACTTTTGTCTCCAGAGGCAACTTGATATTATTTTGTGTTTGTTAAAATTAAAGCCATTTTTGAATAAAGTATGGTGTGATTAAGGGCCGTATCGTCACTCGTTTCTACAATTGTAGGACGGCTTTATGGCCTTGATTTTCATAGTCTTTCAGAAAGGCTAGAGAGTTATACTGATCAGTGTCAGCGCTCTATTTTGTGACATAGAAAAAGAACACGCAGTAATAATGAATTATATTTTTACTTTCGGTTGGTGGCAATTTATAGACATGTCTGAAATATACTAAGTGACATATAAACCCGAACACCCAGTTTAAATGGTTTTATTTTAATAAAAGTTGGTGAATGTATTTATCTTACTGTAAATAACAAGTGAAAAAATTTTCAGCCTCATCAGTTTGACATTCCGGTTTTTATACTGCTTTTTTTTAATTCACTAACGCTCTAAAAATGAATATTTCAGCCGCAGTAAAGAATCAACGTTGGCGGATTTTGGTTCTTGACATCCTTTACGATCGGTTACGATGCCTAGAGTACGGAGACCTGTACGATTTCGTCAACTTAGTGAGTTTGATAGGGGCCGTATAGTGGGACTTCGGGAAGCTAGACTTTCTTTTCGGGCAATTGCAGTTAGAGTGCAAAAAAGGGTAGACACTGTGGTTAGGTGTTGTCAGGCATGGCTTCGAGAAGGCCGTACGCAAAGAGCAAGGGGCACTGGACGCCGCCGTAGAACAACAGATCGTGAAGATCGCCGCCTAAGATTATTGGCCTTAAGGGACCGTTTCTCCACTACCAGGTCCATTGCAAATGAATGGTTTGCAGAACACGGAAGACCTATTGGCATGCGAAGTGTTTACCGACGAATGAGAAGTTTTGGCTTGTTTTCATACCGGCCACACTGGGTCTACCCTTTACCGACGTAATCGCCTTGAGTGGTGCAGACAACGGTCACTCTGGGATCAGGAATGGAAGAGTATTGTCTTTAGTGACGAGTCTCGATTTTGTTTAGGCATGCACGATGGTCGTGCCAGGGTTAGAAGGCGACGTGGTGAAAGGAGGAATCCACAGTTTTTTGTTGAAAGACATGTTCATCACACTGTTGGAGTTATGGTTTGGGGTGCTATAGCTTATGGTTCCAGGTCACCTTTAATCTTCATCAGAGGTAACATGAACGCGCAGCGTTATATCCACGAAGTTCTAGAACCCTATCTTAACACCCTGGCAGATCCATCTTTCCAACAAGATAATGCCCGACCACATGTTGCAAGAGTCACAATTGACTTCTTTCAACATAATGATGTCACATTGTTAACATGGCCACCAAGATCTCCCGACTTATCCCCAATTGAGCACGTGTGGGATATGATGGGTAGGAGATTGCTCAATTTGCAACGTCCTCCTCAGACTCTAGAAGCACTTCGAGAGGAGTTGGTGGTTGCCTGGAATGAGATACCACAGGAGGACATTGACCACCTGATCAGAAGCATGCCTAGGCGCGTTGGAGAATGCGTAGCACATCAGGGTGCATCCACACATTATTAAAGGTTAAAGGGCTTTAAAGCAGCGCAATCATTTTGAAATTTTTATCATTTACTTACTATGGTTCATTAAGTACTTATACAAAATTTTATTAAAATAAAACCATTTAAACTGGGTGTTCGGATTTATTTGTCACTTAGTATATTTATTTATTCAAGAAATTCTATTGACACATGTTTCTATGAAGTTTAAACAGAATCCACTATTTAGTTTCTGATTTTCAAAAAGGCCCGCGTAATTATTTTTTGAATGGATCGTGCTTTCAAGCTGCAATTTGGGGTGCATGAATACAAGTACTATATTTTAGCAGAAAAGTGGCTGTTGAAAAATTTGAAAAGTTTTTCAAATCGAATGGGGAGGGAACTTATGCGAAACCCCATTTTAAAGGTAGAGAAGAATATGAAGTCACTATCTTTTAAATTGACTGTCTGACATGTTCGCATATCGTTAAGGAACACCCTGTATACGTGGTCTGTAAATTAAGTAATGGGATCGGCGACGTAGCGTGAGATCTCGCAACACTGGGACGCCGGGCTTGGAGGGGAGACAGGGGAACATGTGATCCACCTTTAGTACAAGTTTGAACTCGCTCGAGTAATTTAGCGGAGATAGTGTTTTGTTAAGAGGTCAGGTTTTTCAGTGGATTTTCGATTGAAGATGAACCACGAAAAGGAAGGCCTTAATCTTCAAGAGCCGATGAAAATATCGTCAGAATCCGGGATTCTGTGCGTTCAGATCGTGGGTTGACGGTCAGAATGATCGGGGTAGAGTTAATTTGACAAAAATCTGAGCAAAAATGATCCCAAAAAACTTTCCGCAAGACCAAATCGATATGGATATCAGGAAGGAAAGGTGCGTCGACTTTTTGAAATCGATTGAAATTGACTCCCATTTTCTGGAACTGGTGTTTGGGTACGACCCAGAAACCAAGCGACGGAGGCAGTGGCACACTTCAACCTCTCCAAGGCCCAAAAAAGACAATAAAGACGAATTCGAAGATCAAATGCATGCTGATTTGTTTCTCCGATATCCGTAAATAGTTTCTACCTCAAGGCCAAACGGTCAATCAACGCTTTTACCGGGAAAAACAGCGATGTCAATAAACAAGTAAAAACATTCCTGTGGCTTCTCAGCCTCCTTATTCGCCTGATTTGAGTCCTTGTGATTTATTTCTCTTCCCGATGTTGAAAAATCACCCCAAGGGAACTCATTTTGAGACAGTCGAATACATTCAAACATTGAGAAAAATCGGTTCCATTACTTAATTTACAGGCCTCGTAGTATATCAATATTCTTCTCTTGGGAGGATCTGTCGGATATGTAATGAAAATGGAACAATCTATTTAAAAAAAAAATCAATGCGAATGTCTAGTGTTTTATTGCCCACTGAGATAGGTCTTTCCAAAAGAAGACCATTAGCTGGTTAGTTAGTAAACTTTTACGATCGACCATTTCGCCATTTTGAAACATTCTACTGTAAGGTTATAAAGTATACAGGGTGACTTTGAAGTTGAGTCATTAATTTTCAGATAATGATTGTAGAAGGAAGATAAACCAAAATATGTGTGTAAAAAAAATTTTTACCTTGTTTTATGAAGTATCCTCCCAACAAGTATTTCAGTGCGGACCTGTATTTGATCGTGAGGTCTTGGAGCACCGGCATGTCCTCTCCTGTGAGGTCTTAACTCACCTGATTCACGAGCTCGTTGTACTACATTAACAAAGACACGAGGGGTTGGTTGCACTCGATTGGGAAACCGATCCGCATAAACATGTGCCATTTTTTATTTCGTTTGAGCCACGCAACAGACACCACTATTCACTCACGCGTTACCGACTGACACATTGACTGAATAAAAACATCGTGATCAGCGTTTCAAATTCTTTCGCTTTTTTGTTTCCGATGGGATGAACCGATAAGGCGGATTATATCCGTTGTTGCCAAACACGAGCACATACTATTATTATTGAGACAGGGCGGTACTCAAACTTCTAAAGGGCTATAACTTTGTTACTTAAATTTTACCACAAAAATGTTAAAGGAAAAAACATTTCTTTTCATCAGATCTACTCGCTGTTAAAATAAATGACTCAACTTCGAAGTCAAAATCACGAAAGATGACGATTACGTCATCATTTTAGTCTGAAGTGAAGATAAACGACAGCGATTTGGGGATATTTTTAATGAAGTTTGAGATATGTTAGACAGAGACAAACATAATTTACTGTATTGCTAATTTGCATACATCCGACAAAGATAGACGATGTTTTTCATGTTGCATGATCGATCGATATTTGAAAGATGAATAGTTAGGTTATGTTAAAGCAGGTTAGGTTGTTTTCGAATAACACTTTGGTCTTTGGTGTTCCTGTCTAAGGGTGTATTCTACTCAAAACTGTTTTTTTCAAAACAAAAACTCCCCACTAAAATTATTCTCAAGGTATCACTTAAAACCATGGAATAAAATGAAAATAAAAATAATCGCAAAATCATAAGATAAATTCATTATTATAATATATGTTCCTGACATCGTGTTTTTATTATCGACATATGTCTATTGATTACTTACAATTTATGGTATGACGTAATAGTCATTCTTCGTGATTTTGACTATGCCTAGGTATAAGCCAGAAAATGAGGTACCACGTGACTCCCTATTCCAATTAAACAAACCTTCCAAGATCACGTCCAGCTGCCACCTTAAAACTTTACGTCACTGTCACTAGTAAGTCGCGCTTTGTGAACGAGAAAATGGGTATATTAATATTGTGAAAATTTTCAGATGGGCATGTGAGGGATGCAGTGTGATGTTCCCCAATTTCGATCACCTCCAGACACATCTTGAAGGCATCCATTATCAATTTCAGTACTATTGCAGAACGCACAAGGTACATTTTCTTGAAACATCGTTGCATAAATGTACAGTTAAGCGACGGTGCGCGTTTTGCTTCAAATGCCTCGATGAAGAGTACAAAAACCACCCTTGTTTCCACGAATATTCCACGATGGATCTCGAATACTGCGAGTTTTGCAAATGCAGCCTAACCACAAAGTTGATGACTAAGCATTTGAAAATATCGCATGGCGTGAAAACGCCAAAAGTGAACAAGCTGCATATACGAAACGGCGGAAAATGTAGGAAATGCAACGAACGTTTTACAAGTACCAGAGAGTACTACCAACACAGATACAAGAAGCATTCTAAAAGGAAAGAAAAGCTCGACGTTGTATGTTATATCTGCGGCAAAGTGTACAGCACGAATACTATCGCTGAACATATTAAAAATATCCACGCCAGGAAGAGGAACTATAAATGCCAAGAGTGCGGAAAGTCCTTTGCGAATAAGTACAAGTTGGACAGACACATGATAGTGCACACTAATGAGTTCAAACACCAGTGTACGATATGCAACAAAATGTTCAAGATGGTATATTCGTTGAAGGTACATACGAAAATGCACGAGAACAAAGCTTCGTACGAGTGTATAGTCTGCGGCAAGAGCTTCAGCACGAAACAGTCTAGGGATAATCATCTGAGGAAGCATACGGGGTTGGAAAAGTCGAAAAAAGCTTAGATGTGATACTTTTTGAAAGTTTGAGTTAACAGTAGTATGTAAAAAGCAGATTCTGTCGCGGTGGCTGGTTAGCTGAACTGCTACCTGCCATTTGGGTGCGGTCATCCATTCTTTACCTGCTCTAATAGTCGAGCAAATATCTTCTCACCTGCTTGGAAAAATATTCTGATTAGGTGTTTTTGTTTTAAGCGATGGTGTTGCGATAGTTTTTGTGGCTTGGTGATTTGGATTGGTTAAACATGAAAATCAAGCTGTCCTGCAAAGTAAAAAGTGACGCACGGGGTCTATAAACGGAGATTTTTTCACCTAAAAATGATTCTTTCAAGTTGATCGCGGTTAGGCGTTAAGGCCGAGAACTCCGCTTATAGACCTTGATCCTTTTAGGGCTAGTCGTACGTTTTACATTTGTATAACTACAACAGTTTTGCTACTTGGTTTCGCCAGAAATATACTAAGTGACATATAAATCCGAACACCCAGTTTAAATGGTTTTATTTTAATAAAATTTTGTATAAGTACTTGATTGACAAAAAACTGTGGATTCCTCCTTTCACCACGTCGCCTTCTAACCCTGGCACGACCATCGTGCATGCCTAAACAAAATCGAGACTCGTCACTAAAGACAATACTGTTCCATTCCTGATCCCAGAGTGACCGTTGTCTGCAGCACTCAAGGCGATTACGTCGGTGTTCTCGAGTTAAAGGGAGGGCCCAGTGTGGCCGGTATGAAAACAAGCCAAAACTTCTCATTCGTCGGTAAACACTTCGCATGCCAATAGGTCTTCCGCGTTCTGCAAACCATTCATTTGCAATGGAACTGGTATACTATAACTATCTAAAACTGTAATGACTCATCGATGTTCACGTGAACATCACTTAACTACCAGTAGTCGGCTGTTCATAGACGGGGTATGAATGTTTAACATGGGTGAACTAGATTTGTCACATGCTTAATAAAGAGTGGTTTGAAACATATTGTAAGTCAAAAATTTGGGAATTACCTTTATTCATCGTCGCTTCCACTTACATCTGACAGTAATAAACTGTCGCTATCGCTTTCCTCGTTGAAATTGACTATAACTGGCTCTATGATGGTGTCAATGAGGTGGTCAAGCTGCCACATTTTTGTTTCTTCCTTCACAACATGACGGATAGCATTCTGCCAAGCTTCGGGCGTTACTAGCTGTATGGAAGTCTCAAGTAAAACCTTAACGTCTGGTAATTTGAAGGTTGTGTTATGGCGCGCAATATAACCCTTCAGTTGAGCCCAGATGAGCTCTATTGGGTTCAGTTCACAGTGGTAGGGCGGTAACCGCAGCACAGTGACACCACATTGACGGGCCATCTCATCAGTCACGTAACTAATGTTCGCAGGTTTGTGCTGTTTCATTTTTTCATACAATTCCGCTTTCACACATGAATCGTCAAACGGGATTCCTTTTTCGCGCAACCATTGCTGCATGTCACTTTTTCGAGATCCCATAGTCGGTACACGTTCGGATCGACGACTATGGTAGGAAGCATTATCCATGACGATCACAGAGTTGGGCTCAACTCGCTGAAGCACCCCTTGAAACCAGCTCTCGAAGTAGCTGGCATTCATTTCGTCATGGTAATCACCTCCTTTCTTAGAGACGAAAATCAAGTCACACTCTTCTAAAAAGCCACTATCGCTACCAATATGAGTTACGATCAATCTTTGACCCTTCCCTGACGGTCCACGAAGACCTGTTGACAAACCTTAAATGCTTGCTTGTCGGTTACTCACTACGTTTTTGTCTATCCAGGTTTTTTTAACTGTGTGACCTGCATTTACTCATGTCTCGTCCAAATAATAGATTTTTCTGCTTTGTCGCCTATATTCAATCATTTCGCGTAGATATTTTCGACGCCAGGCGACTATTTCAGGTCTCTCTATCAATACTGACTTCCGATTAAGCGTTTCGTAACGAAAATTAATTTCGTGCAGGGATTTCCTCATTACCTCGACGCTCATTTGGGGTATAATTTCATTTTCCTTGATCGCTGCATGTACAACCTTGAGGGTTGGTATCTCATTCCTAAAGAAGAATGAATGTACGGTTCGCCTTAACGCCATTTTGCTATCGTCATCCAATTTAACGGCCTTTCGTCCCTTCAAATTAAACTTTGGATCAGTAGTAGCTCCAGTTTTCTTCTTTTCATGCACCACCCTGCGAATGGTCCACTCTGGAACGCCTGTCATACTTTCACAACGCGCGAGTGCATCTCCCTGCGACATAGTTCTGTTCAGATAATTGAACACGATTTCTTTCGCGTCCCTCTTCAGTGCTTTACGAAGCCGTCTACTTGTTCCCTGGCTTTCAGTATTTCCACTCGTGCCATTTGTACTCTCCATGGTTAAGTATAACCAAAACAGTAACCACAGAAAATACAACAATAACAATCACACAACAATTCTTATAAAAACACACAATATGCGATCGCTCAACGACACACGTTCCAATGCGTTGCCGACGCCTATGAGTCTGCCGGTCGAGGCGCGTCTTTGATTTCATTGGTTCTACCGGCGGAGAACAATCAGCCATTATTTCCATCTCTGTCTGTGCTGTTGACCACCGCAAAGCCACAGAAACGACATATGTCGTACGCTATACGGCTGTACTGGAAGGAAGCCGGGATCGAGCTCTGATCACGTGTTGATCACGCGTATGAGTCATTACAGTTTTAAATAGTTGTAGTATAGTGGAGAAACGGTCCCTTAAGACCAATAATCTTAGGCGGCGATCTTCACGGTCTGTTGTTCTACGGCGGCGTCCAGTGCCCCTTGCTCTTTGCGTACGGCCTTCTCGAAGCCATGCCTGACAACACCTAACCACAGTGTCTACACTTCTTTGCACTCTAACTGCAATTGCCCGAAAAGAAAGTCCAGCTTCCCGAAGTCCCACTATACGGCCACTATCAAACTCACTAAGTTGACGAAATCGTACAGGTCTTTTGTACTCTAGGCATCGTAACCGATCGTAAAGGATGTCAAGAACCAAAATCCGCCAACGTTGATTCTTTACTGCGGCTGAAATATTCATTTTTAGAGCGTTAGTGAATTAAACAAAAGCAGTATAAAAACCGGAATGTCCAACTGATAAGGCTGAACATTTTTTCACTTGTTATTTACAGTAAGATAAATACATTCACCAACTTTTGTTAAAATAAAACCATTTAAACTGGGTGTTCGGATTTATATGTCACTTAGTCTATGTTCACCTTCACGTGAAGATTGGAGCTTTTTCGTTGCTACGACAAAGGATTGCATTTCAAATGAATTACGAGTTATAGAAACAAAATAAGGTCGGCCAGCAAAAGTCAAATTCATTTTGTCAAGTATGTTTTTGAAGATTGATAGTTACTAGTCAAATGCAAAAAGTTGGCAACATTTTACATCAGCACAGATGTTCAAGTCAATCATCTGAGAGATATATTTTATGTCAGATGTCCTTGAGACGAAGAGTATTGTGATTATGAAATACATAAAAATTATACATTGAAGGTACGAGTATATTTTAAATATTATTCTACAATATGCATGTTATTCATATATGATTCGCTTCCTTTATATTTTGTGATATTTTATTTTATACAAAAATCTAAATTATGTATGGTTGTAACAACTGATTTGTTTCAGTTTTTAGATATTTTACGCCTTGCACTCAAAGTGCTTTACTTGTTGGTTCTGTATATATCGCTTTAATAAATTATTTTGAGTATTTCTGCTGCTTTTTTAACGAGTGCGTGCCTTGTTATAATTTCCGGTCGACATACAAGTACTCGTATAACCGAAAAGTAGCTCCAGTTTTATCACAATCTGTTCTGAAAATGTTACACGTTCAAACCGACAAGGTAAGTGGTGCTATTTTGAAAAAGTAAATACATTATCGTTTGGCACTGGTATTTGTCTTTTAAAAATTGAAACTATTCGTATTCAATCATCGAAAATACCTCATTCAAAAACTTCATTGATTTTTGGTAGATTAAGGGCCGATTTCACCAACATTAATATTATGGACCAATGGGAAAATATCAGTGATTTCTATTGAAATATTGAATAAAATCGTGAAAATTCGACTGTATTATAAACAAGACCACTTTTTGATTCCAAAACATGATGCTTTTGTACAGAAAAAACAGGACAACTTTCATGTATTTTGATATATGTCATAGGTTTACATTTAACAATCCGTTATCCCCCTCAGCGAATGGGAATGCAGCAAATAATAGGTCGATTTTCTAGCTGTTAAATTTGGCAGCAGATTTGGACGTTTGTTAATGCATGGCACTCTCGAATTTACCAACTTCAAATACTGAAAAATATTACATCCTGTTGAATAGTGTGGATTTGTCTGTATTTTGCAAGAAAATAGAATATAAAATACATTCCATCCAATTCCTCATTTTCCTTTACGTCATAATAGTAATCATTTATTAATTTATGGGTTAATGAATTTCTTCAAAGCAATAAAAACATTATGTCCTCTCCATCTTAAAACACAGATAATATGCGTAAGTCGTGTCAATCCCTACATCTCCCCAATTACTATGGACATAGACAAAAAATTATGAAAAATGTTTCACAGATAATGGCTTTTAAGTCCAAAAATCTCCTATTTATGAAAATATTTTTGGTATCATCTAACCGTTGCAATCAGTGCACTAACTTACTCCACTGAGACCAGGAGGGTGAAACGGGATATTACTGCACAATCTGGCAACCCTGTCGCACCCTTACAAAATGGCCGCTGACAACCACACAAGTCACCGTGTTGTCATTGAATAGCATGGAATTAACCCTCAGAGTATATGTTTTGTGACTGGTACCAAGAGTTGACAGATCCCACACATATGTCACTCCTTGAAATGCAATAATCAGCCGTATTCAAATAATGTCTAATATAAATATAACCTAGACTGTGTACTGGTAGCTGGTAGCTTTAAGGCGTATATTTGGGAAATTCTTAATCGCTGTGAATATAGTGTGGATGTTTGTTCAGTTCCTGAACAACGAAAAATATGGTTTTGTGGGAATATCAATCTAAGGTGCCATAATGGTTCTGATGAACGGCAAGTAAATGAAGTATTTTGTTTCCAACATTTCATAGCTGTTGGTTGCTAAAATTTGTTGATTGGAACTTGAAGCTTATTCGCTGTATCTGACGGTCTGTTACCCTATTGGTGGAGAATAACGGACTGTTGTTGGTGAATTTGGCCCTTAGTCTTAACTTCTTTGATTTGAGGTTATGTGTTCTTACCTGGTGTTGTTTTGCGTTTCAGAGCTGTACCTCATGAGCCAACCAGTATTAAAGTAGTGTCGAAGAAACTACTTGATATTTGCAGTTCAAATAAAGTTTTAAAACTTTGCGCATTCTGTCATATAAAGATGCACGCGGCTGAATCTCATACGTGTGAACATCTAACTACAGATCAATTCAGAGAACTAGATGGTAAGGACAAGCCTAAAAATGGATGTACTATGCAGTACAGATGCCAATTTTGCACGCTGATCTTTGGATCAGCACTCGAAGCTGAGCAGCATATACAAGAAGCGACCTGTACATACCTGCAATTCTGTGAATCTTGTCAAGAATTCTGTGATACAAACCACAAATACTGTCAAGGAACACTATTGTTTTGCGTGAGCTGTAGAAGTACATTGAAATATGATTTAATCGCTCAGCATCAATGCTTCCACACGCTAACCAAAAATCAACAAGAAAAAAACGCTGCACAAGTGACGAATGATGCTACCTTTATCGTAGTTTGCGAACTGTGTGGCAAAGCGATGCCAGTATCGTTCAGGAAAACTCATCACAAAAGGAACCATCCTAAAAAAATGTTACACACCTGTCCATATTGCCAAAAGACCTTTTCTGGCTCAAAAGATGTCAAAAAGCACAAGCGTTTATTCCACGAACAATTCTTGTGCCATGTTTGCGGCAAACAAATGCTGTCGGACGAAACGCAACTTCACGTAGACAGCCATGAGAACGTCAAAAGGTACAAGTGTTCGATATGTGATAAGTTCTTCACATTCAGAGACAGTCTTCGGAAGCATATTGTTATCCATTCGAACGAAGCAAAGTTTATCTGCAGCACTTGTGGCAAGCATTTCAAGCGAAGAGATAATCTGGTGGTCCATATGAGGAGTCATGCCGAGATTAAGCCTTTCCAGTGTATGATTTGCGGAAAAACGTTCACTACTAAGCAGTCGAGGGACAATCACATGAAGTCTCACAAGGGAGATACTATGACCAACTAGTTGTGAAAATGTGATAATAAATTTATTTTTTGTCTAGTTTTCTGACTCATTTATCAAACATGGAATATGGAAGGAATTAAGTGATTATTTATCAATTTGTATAACGTTTTCCCTGTTGTACATTGGTTATGAACCCAAATGCATCCGTTTAAATTTCAGAGATAAACAGCGATGCAGTATTGAATGTTCAACACTAAGTTTTGGCACAAAATATTTACCGGATTTATAAATTTATTCAAACACTAACTAATTATCATAAATTACAATTACTTAAGCTATACTTTACCAGACGCAACTTTCTTCAAATGTCCTGGACGGAATTCAGATAAATTTCTATCAGTTTTTCGTAAATCCGCCGACGTGATTGTTCTTCATCTTGGGCTTTTCAGCCTCTATGATGAACTTTCCTAGCCAGTAAAACCCACAAATTCTCTATTGACTATTCAAAGCTTCACCTCTCACTCTTCCTTTAAAAGGTTGGTAGAAATCGCGCACGTGACAAGGATTTTATCTACAAATTTCGCGTTTCTTTCCGTTGTCCGTTTCCTCTTATTCCAGAATTACTCAAAGTGAAATACTTTTTTTATTTGGGGCATTTAAGTCTCTTTCGATATTTGAATGTCAACTGAGTAGATAGGGTTTGTATGTTCTGGGACGCCCTTGAGCGCCGACCTTCGGTGCCAAACGACCTTGAGAGCTGACCTTCGGTGCCAACATTGAAATGTAACCTCGAAACGTGACCTTGAGTTCCAAGTGACCTTGAAGTGCGACCTTGAATTTTTCGAGTGACCTTGAAGTGTGACCTTGATTTTCCGATTGACCTTGAAGTGTGACATTGATTTTTTCGAGTGACCTTGAAATGTGACCTTGAGCTTTCGATTAACCTTGAAGGGTGACCTTGAGTTTCCGAGTGTCCTTGAAGTGTGACATTGAGTTTTCTAGTGACCTTGAGTTTCCGAGCCACCTTGAAGTGTGACCTTGAGTTTCCGAGTGACCTTGAACATATATGACCTCGAACACCCAAGGTCACACTTCAAGGTTAATCGAAAACTCAAGGTCACACTACAAGGTCACTCGGAAACTCAAGGTCACTCAAAAAACTCAAGGTCACACTTCAAGGTCACTTGGAAACTCAAGGTCACGTTTCAAGGTTACATTTCAAGGTTCTCACCGAAGGTCAGCTCTCAAGGTCGTTTGGCACCGAAGGTCGGCGCTCAAGGGCGTCCCAGAACATACAAACCCTATCTACTCAACTGACAGTAAAGTAAGTGAACAAACTTTTGTTTCCTAAGGCAACTTGATATTATTTTGTTTGTGAAAATTAAAGCCTATGAATTTTGTGCCAAAACCTGTAAGACTATCTACTATACAGAATATATTTTTTCAGAATGGACTTTGTTCCTGTTCAAATTCCCCAAGTTAAATATAAAGCAGAAAAGGTAGAAACCAAAAATGAAAGAGCAACAAAAAATCAAAGTGCTTTCATGCAAGACGAAGTACCAACAATTAATCGTAAAGTCAAGTACGAACCACCTATGACAAAGAAGGGGGAGTTTTTCGAATGTATTCAGTGTAAAACTATTTTTCAAACCGAGAACGAATTTTTCACACATCGTGATAGTATCAACGTTGTTATTATCATATTCCGCACAGAAACTGTTGATTTTGTTACTCAGAGTGATACAGATTTTTCTGGTACGGCGGGTGTGCCTTATTGTCCTGTGTGTCAACAAAACTTACGACAGGCACATTTTCTGTCTCACAGGTGTTTTCATATATTCACCAAAGAAGAAATAGAAAATTGTGTAACAACTACACTTATTGATAAAAGTTTCATTTGTAACTGCACGTATTGTCAGAAATCAGTACCTATTGATTGTTTGAGAGCACATACAAAAATGTTCCATTCGGATGTCGTCAAACTGGCTGCGTATTTTTGCAGGTGTTGCCAAACGTATTTCGAGGTTAAGCGCGACTTTGAAAGGCACAAGCAAAGTATGCACCAACGTAAATTGTGCGAAATATGCGGAAGAATTGTGATCGGTTCAGGTGGAAGCCATTATCTTAGGCATAAAGGGAAAACACGATCTGATCTGAACCCGACTCCGTCTGTGTGTGACATTTGCGGAAAAACTATAAGAGACCGAAAAAACATGGCGGTTCATAAAAGAACGCACATGAGCGCTAGCGAAAGACCATTTGAATGCTTTATTTGCGAGAAAACGTTCACCACGAAGCAGTGGAGGGATAACCATATGACATCACATTAGTATAAACTGGAGAGTATAACTATGGGCGCAGGAAAGTAAACGCATATTAAAACAAGAAAGATTGATATTGAAATCAAGTTGGGTACTTTATTTTGAAGGCTCATTTATACCATTTATGTATGAAAAATAATATTGCTCAAATGTTCACCACGACTGGATTTACAGACGTCCACGCGATGGTCGAAATTTTCAATGACATTTTGCAACATGGTCGTTTCTATGGCATTTATCTCGGCAATGATGTTGTTTTTGAGTTCTTGGAGGGTGGCTGGTTGGTTGACGTAGAGTTTGCTTTTCAAATATACCCATAAAAAGAAGTCCAAGGGAGTCAAATCGCACGATCTTGGTGGCCATGGCACATTTCCTCTGCGCGAAATCACGCGATCACCGAAGAAGGACTGCAATCGATGGATATTGACGTTGGTTGTGTGGCATGTTGCACCGTCTTGTTGGAAATAAACATCGTCCATATCCATTCCTTGAAGTTGCGGCAAAAAATAGTCCTCTATCATCACGTGATATTGCTCAGAATTGACGGTAACGGTGTCCCCGGCCGCATTTTCGAAAAAGTAAGGTCCGATGATGCCTTTTGAACACAATGCAGCACACCACACAGTCACTTTTTGAGGATGCATCGGCTGCTCTTGATACTCACGGGGATTTTCGTTTGCCTAGATGCGGCAGTTTTGCTTGTTTACTGTCCCATTCAAAGTGAAATGCGCTTCTTCGCTGAACATGATTTTTGATGAAAAATTGGCATCAATTTGGCGGTGTTCAAGGAGCCAATCTGAGAACGTTCGGCGCGAAAAATGGTCGGCCCGACGCAGCTCCTGCGTCAATTGGATCTTGTAGGCGTGTACATTCAAATCATTGTGGAGAATGCGGAGCAAACTGGTTCTCGAAGTGCCCAATTCTTGGGATCGACGCGTTGTTGATTGTTTTGGATCGTCTCTCACACTCTCCTTCACAACAGCAATATTTTCCGGTGTGCGAACGCTCCTTGGCCGGCCAGAGACTGGCAGATTTGCCACAGAACCTGTTGCCTCGAATTTACGCACCAGACGACCGATGGTTGTTTCGTTTTGGCGGTTGTTGCGACCGAAATGTTCACGAAGCGCGCGAAACGAGTTTTTTATTTTTGCACCATTTTTGTAGTGCTCTTGAATAACTTTAATCCGGTCTTCAATCGAATACGACTCCATAGCGATCACTGGTAAACATTCAACTAACAAAATGACATGTCGGTGACAGAAAACAAAGATGGCGTCTATGTCAAATTGACGTTTACTTTCCTGCGTCCCTATTGGACAACCCTTTATAACCCCACCAACAATCTCCGTGTTTTCTTTAGTGAGCCTAAATGTAACTTTATACAGGGTGCTTTCAAAGATGAGTCATTTATTTTAAGCTCTTGTAGAACTCGTCACAAGAAGATAATATACCAAAAATCACCTATATCAAAGTTGTATAATAGGAGAGTCGGTTTAAACTGTTATTTATATTTCTAAAAAAATTTCAGGTTGAGCATGTCTTCTAGCGTGACCTCCTCGTTGTTCTTTTAAATATCCTGTATCACGAAGTCTGATAACTAAATTTACAAACATCCGTGGGGCCGATGATTATTATAAATACCATCTGGAGAATTTCCTTCAAAATTTGCAAGTACAAGAATATCATTTGTTTCATGAATACGGCTCAATAACACAAAAAGTTTACCAAATTTTGATAAATGATAAGAGTAATAAATCAAAAACGCTGAGATTTCACACGGCAGTGTTCGATAATATCAAAAAATCTATGTAATAACATTCTTATTTTCAAAAATGTTACGTTTTTAACTATTTCTTTTATTATGCAACTTTTATATAAGCGATACTTGATATGTGAACTCCTTTCGACAAGTAATACAAGCAGTTAAAATAAATGACTCAACTTTGAAAACACGAGAGGTGATACAACAAACAGAAATAAAGAATAAAGAGCTTATTCAAAAGTAGTGGGACTATAATTATACACCACTCACTTTTACTAGCTTTTCGGCATCAAAAACAAATCACCTAACTTGTTGGTGAAGCATGGTGAGTCAACTCGATGTTTATTATTTTTTAAAAGTATAAACGTTTATTTATCTTAAAAATAAACAATCCAATCCGATCCAATTCTGGAATGTTTCGCATATTTCCTATATTCTACTGAAACACTTGTTGAGAACACTACAGAAATTGTTAGTAGATGTTAAAGAGAGAGAATACTGTTTTCTTCATTATAAAACAACCCCATACTTTTTACAAATGATCCCAGAACTGTAATTATCGAAAATTGACCCACAATGACAAAAAACGATATGTCAAACCGAGGTCATCTTGTTTTTAGTACAAATACAGAATGCAAAACAAAGGCAATATTCTCATTTAACCTCTATGTATTTTCTTCTTCACTCATTTGTTTTGTGGGCTTTTTTATAGAATAGAGAATGATTTTTAGTAATGCTTGCACCGGAATTTCTTTTCTTTTCAAACGTTAAATCGGAACCAACCGAGGTTATCATGTAAATACCCGTTCCATAATTACCTAAGAGAATCTTTTCCTTCCAGAATCAACCTCGTTTCTGCACAACTCCAAAAAAGAAGAAAGTATTTTCAGTGTAACTCGTGCCATATGCTGTTTGATACGCAACAGAAGATTTTAACGCACCAGAAAAAAGATTCGTCGGGAAAGGCGATGTGCGGTGGCAAATTAAAATTTGATATTTTCGGTAAACTTCAAATAGGAAGAAAGTATTTCCAGTGTACCTCGTGTCGCACGCTCTTTGATACGCCGCAGAAGATTTTAGCTCATCGAAAAGCATCCGGGTGCGGTTCCAAATCAACAGTTGGCCACACTTCCGGAGATTCGCGATCACGAACGTTAAAACCAAACATACCACACGAGAAACAAGCGCCGGATATTGAAAAGCATACACCATACCATACCATACCATCCGAAGATGCAGAAAGAGGAATAAAACGCGAGCACAGTGGACTGAAGAAGGTTTTCAGGATAAGTAAAAAGGATGTGCAAAATGAGATAGTTGATGAATTGTTACAAGACCAAGGAACGTCAGTCAATAAGACAATGCGTACATATAAATCACCACTATTATTATCAAAGAAAAAGCCAATTGTAGAAAAAACGCAAACTATGGTCAAATCAATGACTGTAGAAACACAAGAAATCTCAAAAAAAGGCACGGAAAGTAGCGGCACTCAGGTTATAGAGAGTGCACCTGCAGAAAATTGTATAGATGCACCTTTAATGGAAGTAAAACAAATGATAGATATGAAAGAATTTTTGAATGAAGGACAAGAATTGGTTAAAAATAATGAAGTTCATACAATAAAGTCGGACCCTGGAAATTCAGGAGTCATTAATAAAGAGACCTTAGATAAGACTCTACAGATAGCACTTTCAGTGACAAATATCAAATCCGTACAACAAAACAATCTTACACTATCGAGTGGAGCTGATGACGATTTCGATGAGAAAATGAAAGATGAAATGACCAGCAACGAAAATTCGTCACCACAAGACAATGTTGATCCTAACGGCAGTGAAGATGATTGCGATGATGACGAAACAACTAGTCTAAAATCAGATGTGACAAACAATGTATATTGGGGATTAAAATCACATGGAGATCGTTTCCAGTGTGTTTATTGTGAATGCGTTTTTGATGCCGTGGCAGAATATCTTGTACATGTTAATAGCATCTACGTTAATGTTATCCGATTTAACAGAGCAGCGGTACGATGTATAACCGAAAGTAATATCGATAGATGTGATGGACGATATGCAAGTTACTGCCCGGTATGTCAGAAAAATATAACAAATACCCGCCTTAAGTTTCACTCGTGTTTCCATCTATACGATAAAAAAGAAATAGATGAGTGTAACGCTACAACGCTCAACGATGGATATTTCATTCGGGAATGCAGGTATTGTAACAAATCGTTACCTGCGGATATGCTGCACCTACATTTTAAATACCTTCATCAAGATGTTACAAAAGGAAATCGATGTTTCTGCAAGCGGTGCCAAACGTTCTTCGATACTCGTAAGGCAGCTAAGAAACATAAGTTCATGCATGATTACAAACTGTGCGAAATATGTGGAAAATTCGTATACGCGGCCGCAAAAGCAACTCACGATGCCAGACACCAAGGGATCAGAAAAAAGTACAACAAGCCAGCTGTGTGTGACGTTTGCGGAAAAACTATCAAAAACTCGAAAAACCTGTCGGTACACAAACGGTCGCATATGAGTGCAAGCGAAAAACCGTTTGAATGCTATGTTTGTAAGAAGACGTTTACCACGAAGCAGTGGAGGAATAAGCATATGAGATCGCACTAGAGGAGCTTTAGCACACACACATTTTTTTTTCTGAAAAACCTCTTTCGTTTATTCAAACCTACCTTGTAAATCGGTATCAAAAAGTTCGTATAAATCAACAGTACTCTACCGAACAAAAAATTTGTTCCGAGGTACCACAGGGATCAGTCTTAGGACCCCTATTATTTTCATTATATATCTCAGATGTAGAAACAGAGGTAAAATCGTGCAGCATACAATTTTTTGCAGGCGATACTCAAATTTTCTGTTCATTTAGGAGTAATGACTTGAATGCTATGTTTGTAAGAAGACGTTCACCACGAAGCAGTGGAGGAATAACCATATGAGATCGCACTAGAGGAGCTTTAGCACACACACATTTGTTTTTTCTGAAAAACCTCTTTCGTTTATTCAAACCTACCTTGTAAATCGGTATCAAAAAGTTCGTATAAATCAACAGTACTCTACCGAACAAAAAATTTGTTCCGGGGTACCACAGGGATCAGTCTTAGGACCCCTATTATTTTCATTATATATCTCAGATGTAGAAACAGAGGTAAAATCGTGCAGCATACAATTTTTTGCAGGCGATACTCAAATTTTCTGTTCATTTAGGAGTAATGACTTGAATGCTATGTTTGTAAGAGGACGTTCACCACGAAGCAGTGGAGGGATAACCATATGAGATCGCACTAGAGGAGCTTTAGCACACACACATTTTTTTTTTCTGAAAAACCTCTTTCGTTTATTCAAACCTACCTTGTAAATCGGTATCAAAAAGTTCGTCTAAATCAACAGTACTCTACCGAACAAAAAATTTGTTCCGAGGTACCACAGGGATCAGTCTTAGGACCCCTATTATTTTCATTATATATCTCAGATGTAGAAACAGAGGTAAAATCATGCAGCATACAATTTTTTGCAGGCGATACTCAAATTTTCTGTTCATTTAGGAGTAATGACTTGAATGCTATGTTTGTAAGAAGACGTTCACCACGAAGCAGTGGAGGAATAAGCATATGAGATCGCACTAGAGGAGCTTTAGCACACACACATTTTTTTTTCTGAAAAACCTCTTTCGTTTATTCAAACCTACCTTGTAAATCGGTATCAAAAAGTTCGTATAAATCAACAGTACTCTACCGAACAAAAAATTTGTTCCGGGGTACCACAGGGATCAGTCTTAGGACCCCTATTATTTTCATTATATATCTCAGATGTAGAAACAGAGGTAAAATCGTGCAGCATACAATTTTTTGCAGGCGATACTCAAATTTTCTGTTCATTTAGGAGTAATGACTTGAATGCTATGTTTGTAAGAGGACGTTCACCACGAAGCAGTGGAGGGATAACCATATGAGATCGCACTAGAGGAGCTTTAGCACACACACATTTTTTTTTTCTGAAAAACCTCTTTCGTTTATTCAAACCTACCTTGTAAATCGGTATCAAAAAGTTCGTCTAAATCAACAGTACTCTACCGAACAAAAAATTTGTTCCGAGGTACCACAGGGATCAGTCTTAGGACCCCTATTATTTTCATTATATATCTCAGATGTAGAAACAGAGGTAAAATCATGCAGCATACAATTTTTTGCAGGCGATACTCAAATTTTCTGTTCATTTAGGAGTAATGACTTGAATGCTATGTTTGTAAGAAGACGTTCACCACGAAGCAGTGGAGGAATAAGCATATGAGATCGCACTAGAGGAGCTTTAGCACACACACATTTTTTTTTTCTGAAAAACCTCTTTCGTTTATTCAAACCTACCTTGTAAATCGGTATCAAAAAGTTCGTCTAAATCAACAGTACCCTACCGAACAAAAAATTTGTTCCGAGGTACCACAGGGATCAGTCTTAGGACCCCTATTATTTTCATTATATATCTCAGATGTAGAAACAGAGGTAAAATCATGCAGCATACAATTTTTTGCAGGCGATACTCAAATTTTCTGTTCATTTAGGAGTGATGACTTGAATGCTATGTTTGTAAGAAGACGTTCACCACGAAGCAGTGGAGGAATAAGCATATGAGATCGCACTAGAGGAGCTTTAGCACACACACATTTTTTTTTTCTGAAAAACCTCTTTCGTTTATTCAAACCTACCTTGTAAATCGGTATCAAAAAGTTCGTATAAATCAACAGTACTCTACCGAACAAAAAATTTGTTCCGAGGTACCACAGGGATCAGTCTTAGGACCCCTATTATTTTCATTATATATCTCAGATGTAGAAACAGAGGTAAAATCATGCAGCATACAATTTTTTGCAGGCGATACTCAAATTTTCTGTTCATTTAGGAGTAATGACTTGAATGCTATGTTTGTAAGAAGACGTTCACCACGAAGCAGTGGAGGAATAAGCATATGAGATCGCACTAGAGGAGCTTTAGCACACACACATTTTTTTTTTCTGAAAAACCTCTTTCGTTTATTCAAACCTACCTTGTAAATCGGTATCAAAAAGTTCGTCTAAATCAACAGTACCCTACCGAACAAAAAATTTGTTCCGAGGTACCACAGGGATCAGTCTTAGGACCCCTATTATTTTCATTATATATCTCAGATGTAGAAACAGAGGTAAAATCATGCAGCATACAATTTTTTGCAGGCGATACTCAAATTTTCTGTTCATTTAGGAGTGATGACTTGAATGCTATGTTTGTAAGAAGACGTTCACCACGAAGCAGTGGAGGAATAAGCATATGAGATCGCACTAGAGGAGCTTTAGCACACACACATTTTTTTTTTCTGAAAAACCTCTTTCGTTTATTCAAACCTACCTTGTAAATCGGTATCAAAAAGTTCGTATAAATCAACAGTACTCTACCGAACAAAAAATTTGTTCCGGGGTACCACAGGGATCAGTCTTAGGACCCCTATTATTTTCATTATATACCTATTTAGAAATAGAGGTAAAATCATGCAGCATACAATTTTTTGCAGGCGATACTCAAATTTTTTATTCATTTAGGAGTAATGACTTGGAAACAGCAGATAATAAAATTTATCGAGATCTTACCCAAATTGAAAAGTTCAGTAGTAGTCATAATCTTCGTTTGAACCCTTTGAAGACAAATATGTTGGTATAAAAAATGAGAAGTATCATGAATACATATTGCAGACATGTAAATGTTCTCAGAAAGTATGATCATATATCGAATTCCATTACCCAAATTCAAGAAAAAAGTGAAAGAAGTTTTACTTGATCAGCAGCGAAATCTGTTGTAACCCATAAGTGGCCTCATATTTCCCTTATGCCTTCACTTAGATTATACTCTATTCTGTCGTTATTATATACAGGTATTAATTTTCAACAAATTCTGTTTTTTTACATCTTGTATTATTAGATGATAGAATAGATATATTATCTAAATCTCGCCTCCTGTAAGAATATTACAAATAAAAGACGCTAATTATTATTAAATTCTGGACTGTTTTAAGCATTTTACAGAGATACGAGGTTTGTAAATTAAGTGATGAGACTGATCTTTTTAAATTATTTAATAAAAAATAATTACAGTTTTATATTGTGTTTTGTGTATATTTTTTTTCAGTAGGCTTTCAACAGATTTTCAACATTTGGAAAATGTTTAAACAGCTCGAGATTTGTCGACATTTACAATATGTTTAAAACAATCAACAATTTAATTTTGAATTGTTAATATTTCCATGATTTTAAAAATTCTCAAAATTCTCAATAAATCAATTTTCAGTGTAAAGAGCAGAAAAAATATTCTAGATTTTCAGGTCTTTAAAAATCTCCACTTTTCAAAATCTTTCATTTTAAAAATGGAACGTTAACAAATGTGACCTACAGAAATTAATGATAGATGTTCAAGCAGCAGAATACTGTTTTCTATATAAAATCTCATATATTCAGAAATTATCCCAGAATGTAATAATCGAATATAGATCCACTTCTATAAAAATACAGTATGTGTAAGTCATGTAATCTTATTTATAGTTTTACATTATACCAAATGCAAACAGTGTTATACCTGTGTTAAAGCTTCCATTTAATCCATATGTAATTTCTTCATGACAAAGTTTCGACACGAGAAAGTTTTTTAAAATAAAGACAAATCGACTGCATGCATTTTTGCATTGATATTGTTTTCTGTAAAACATTAAATGGCATTGAAGGTTTCTAACCCATCCGAGGTCATCATATAAATACATATACTAAGTGACATATAAATCCGAACACCCAGTTTAAATGGTTTTATTTTAATAAAATTTTGTATACGTACTTAATGAAGCATAATAAGTAAATGATAAAAATTTCAAAATGATTGCACTGCTTTAAAGCCCTTTGACCTTTAATAATGTGTGGGTGCACCCTGATGTGCTACGCATTCTCCAACGCGCCTAGGCATGCTTCTGATCAGGTGGTCAATGTCCTCCTGTGGTATCTCATTCCAGGCAACCACCAACTCCTCTCGTAGTGCTTCTAGAGTCTGAGGAGGACGTTGCAAATTGAGCAATCTCCTACCCATCATATCCCACACGTGCTCAATTGGGGATAAGTCGGGAGATCTTGGTGGCCATGGTAACAATGTGTTATGTTGAAAGAAGTCTATTGTGACTCTTGCAACATGTGGTCGGGCATTATCTTGTTGGAAAGTTGGATCTGCCAGGGTGTCAAGATAGGGTAAAAGATGGGGTTCTAGAACTTCGTGGATATAACGCTGCGCGTTCATGTTACCTCTGATGAAGATTAAAGGTGACCTGGAACCATAAGCTATAGCACCCCAAACCATAACTCCAACAGTGTGATGAACATGTCTTTCAACAAAAAACTGTGGATTCCTCCTTTCACCACGTCGTCTTCTAACCCTGGCACGACCATCGTGCACGCCTAAACAAAATCGAGACTCGTCACTAAAGACAATACTGTTCCATTCCTGATCCCAGAGTGACCGTTGTCTGCACCACTCAAGGCGATTACGTCGGTGTTCTCGAGTTAAAGGGAGGACCCAGTGTGGCCGGTATGAAAACAAGCCAACACTTCTCATTCGTCGGTAAACACTTCGCATGCCAATAGGTCTTCCGTGTTTTGCAAACCATTCATTTGCAATGGACCTGGTAGTGGAGAAACGGTCCCTTAAGGCCAATAATCTTAGGCGGCGATCTTCACGGTCTGTTGTTATACGGCGGCGTCCAGTGCCCCTTGCTCTTTGCGTACGGCCTTCTCGAAGCCATGCCTGACAACACCTAACCACAGTGTCTACACAGCTTTGCACTCTAACTGCAATTGCCCGAAAAGAAAGTCCAGCTTCCCGAAGTCCCACTATACGGCCCCTATCAAACTCACTAAGTTGACAAAATCGTACATGTCTCCGTACTCTAGGCATCGTAACCGATCGTAAAGGATGTCAAGAACCAAAATCCGCAAACGTTGATTCTTTACTGCGGCTGAAATATGCATTTTTAGAGTGTTAGTGAATTAAAAAAAAGCAGTATAAAAACCGGAATGTCCACCTGATAAGGCTGAAAATTTTTTCACTTGTTATTTACAGTAAGATAAATACATTCACCAACTTTTATTAAAATAAAACCATTTAAACTGGGTGTTCGGATTTATATGTCACTTAGTATATTTCAATTAGTCTAGTTTAAGACCATATTTTCCTTCCAGAACCAACTTTCTTTCTGCACAACATCTCCAAAACTGAAGAAGTTATTTTCAGGATACATCATGGCAGATGATCCTTGATACGCCAAGGTTAATCGGAAAATGAACATTCAGAGTCTCAGTAGGTAATCTTAAAATGGAAGACAGAACAAACGTTAAAACAAGATATACCGCGCAAGAAACTGATGTTAAAAAACAAGTGATATTGAATGCAGCAGATGCTAACAAGCCAGTGATTGAACAACAAAGGCCCATTATATTGAAAAGAAAGATGTCAGAACTCACTCAAGAAACTTTCGAAGATGCTTTAAAAAGTGAAATAAAACATGAGTAACATGGACAGAAGACGGTTTTCATTATAAGTAAAAAAGTTCCTATAAAAAAGGAGCAGATGGAACGAGTAGCTCCACAAACAGGTATGTACTCAGTTGGAAACAATGGATAATTAAAAGACAAATAGACAGTAACGAAAGGGAATACAGAGAAGACTTTTACGTACACCAAAGAATCAAACAAAAATTCAGTTAAAGGGAAAACGGAAGTTATGGACAAACAAATGACCTTGAGTACACCAGGAATCTTAAAAAAATTCATGAGAGGGAATGAAAAGCAAGTTATAGAGTGTAAACCTGTAGAAAATAAAGTAACATCCAAGACAAATATGTTCGTAGGAAGAAATGGAGGTCTGAATATTATATCAATGAAAATACAAAAATTGTTTCAACATGCCAACAAAATAACTAAAATAGATACAATGAAGTTGGAATCTGGGGAGGATTACTTATACTTAGTACCAACGTTAGAAATTCTAGAGAACAGGTGTAAAATGAAGTTAGAAGGAGCCATCAATAAAGAATACTTATTAAATGCAATAATCTTATCACACTATCGAATGAAGTTGATGAACATTTCAATGATGAAGGGAAAGATGTTGATGCAGTGAGGGGGAGCGAAATTACCAGGAACGAATATTCGGCTCGAACAAACAATGTTACTGACCCTAAAGCTAGTGAAGATGACAAAGATTTAAATGAGGAAGGGAAAGAGATTGGGAGCGAAATGACCAGGAATGAAGATGAAGGTAGTGAACGAAGACGATGATGATTACGGTCGTAGTGAGCAAGCAGGAAGTGAGAATCATACAATTTTGTTTAAAGACGAAACACCGAATTCTGTAGCAATATACAAAGCACATCGAGAATGAAAACCATATGGGGATCGCCTCCAGTATCTTTTTGATACTGTGGCAGAATATCTTACATACTAATCGATCTATGCAGTAAAAAATAAATAGAAACCAGACTTTCCTCACAGGGAGAATTTTTTCTGTACGCGTCAGTGTTACTGTCTTCTCTCCATCGTGTGGCAAGCGGAGTTCCCAAGGCTCAGTCTTAGGTCCCATGCTCTTCCTTTTGTACACAAGTGACCTCGTAGTCCTCCACATGTTCTGCTTATGCCGAGGATACGAAGATTTGCAACAAGCTCTGCTCTGCTTGAGCGAGATATTGACATTGTTCGTCAATGGACAGATAGTTGATTTCTACCCTTGCAACCATCAGCGTATTGTGTCTTACACCTCGGCAGTCTCTAGTTAATCTAATCTTGGCGTTGTAGTCAAGTCGTAACAACCAAAGATACATGCTGGAGAGGTCTTTCAGAGGATCTGACGCCAGCATTTGCGCCTTCATTTTGCGATAATAATAATAATGATAATAATACACTTAGAGACAGTCCAATTCCATTATTTCAACATATGGAACTTGAAATAGTTTTTGACGGTAAATATTTTCATTTATTTACATTTTCATGTTTGCATCTTATTTTAAGACCTTTCAGGGTCTTTATATCCTAAGATGATGTTATGAGATTCTTGAATTCACGACCCAATTTGATTCCAGGGATCCAAAAGTCCTGAAGGGCAAATGTCTCGCATGTGTTCAATGCGGAAAACTGTTCCAGTCTAAGAAAAAGCTCAGGTGTCATGGCAGAGCCCACAGGAAAAAGAACATAGCTTGCGATGTGTGCAACAAAATGTTCTCGTTGAGGAACATCATGCTGAAACACAAGCAGTCCGTACATCTGGCAAACTATGATCAAAAGTGCGACATGTGCGAAGCTAGCTTCAAGACTGTGCATACCCTCAACAATCACAAGCGAATAATGCACTTAAAAAACTACACGTTCACTTGTGACAAATGTGACAAGGGCTTCTTCCTTAGAAAAGAATTACGGATTCATCATCAAGTCGCCCATGAACACATATACTTCAGATGCAAGTGCTGCGAGAAGCCTTACAGATCGCTGCAGAGCTTGAATCGCCACGAACTTCTGCACGATCCTAACTACAAAAAGCGAGACTTTCCCTGTCCTGATTGCCCTAAAGTGTTCCATGACCGAAGCAGTTTCGCAAGGCACAAGGCTGAACACACATCAGGCAAGAAGAACTTTATCTGTGACATTTGTGGAAAGGTAGTGACTAGCCAGTTCAGCTTGAAAACACACGTTAGGACGCATACAGGTGAAAAAGCGTATGAGTGTAATATTTGCGGGAACGCTTTCGCAGCCAAACCGACGTTGGTGACACATATGAGGATACACACAGACGAGAAGCCGTACAGTTGTTCCGTATGTCAGAAAAGGTTCAGACAGAAGCCAGCGTTGAATATTCATATCAGGTACCATACTGGTGAAAAACCGTACCATTGTGGGTTCTGCGAGAATAACTTTATTAGTAAGACGGCGCTTAAGAAACATAAATGTAAAGGACGTTGATTAATAGAATATTTTCCAACATTTCATTACTTTGTTTGAAATATACTGACATAAAAAAAGGACATTCAGTAATAATGAATTTATTTACTTCGATACATGTATCCGATCGTATACAATAATTTCTCCGTTTTAACTAATGTTGTTCGGGAAATCGGCGCCTGTAGTTCCCCTTTCGGCGTTTGCGTCGTTAGATTCTCTGCCGGTGATTCCCCAAGCGCGTTTGCGGAATTCACTGGTATTTGTGCGTGTATGTTTGTTTCACTCAGGTTCATAATCGCTAAGATGAAGCAGCATAGAAATAAATGTAAACGCTTTGTTATTACCATAGAACATAATTTTGAGGCAATCAGACGTTTAGATAGAGGTGATTTGCTCAAAAACGTGGCAAGTGATTTGGGTGCGGGCGTGAGTACCATTTCAGAATGAACAAAAACAACGCGAGAAAATTGAAAAGTGCAGGGTTTTGGAAATGTTACCCAAGCAGATGTTGGTGAGTGGATTAAAGGTGATGAATTGGTGGAAGAATTAACTGATACAGTACCAATAAAAACTGTTTGTAACAATTGCGGTGATACAGTTTCAAGTGATGCTACTGGCAATGTCTTATCCAAAAGTTAACCATTTTTGAGTTATTTGAATTATAAGTTTTTTATTTTTTATTCCGATTTCAGACGGTCAAAATTGAAAAAACTGCATGTTTGATTTTGAGTTTTTTGTTATCGTCGCATAGCAGACATTCCAATAATTCATAATAAGTAATAAAATGTTGAAAAGCTATAAACGTTTTGAAATTACGCTTTTTAAATGTATCATTTTCTTTTTTTTTACTAACTTATTCGATAAAAAATGTAACTTTCTGTAAAAATTAACGTTCTTTTTTTTCAAATGCAAACCATCTCAGTTTGCTCGAACAATGTCAAAACAATTGTAAGTAGAATTTTACGTACCTAGAACCAGGGCAATCCGTGCCGAGTTGCATTGGAACATGCCACTGTTTTCCTTCAATCAGAATGTCGAAGGAATTACGCAGTTCTAAAAAGGGAATAGGACGACAAGCGGTACCGTATTTCATTGCATGCATCGACGGGTCATTACTAACCTATAAAATAGCGCCACAAGGAAGTGTTTTCCTCTTCAGTGCTTTCCTTTCTTTCACGTCAAGCTTTTCCAAGTTTTCGATGTAACGATTAAGCACAAGACGTAAGCCTTTAAACATATTCTGATTCCAGCTTTTGCCTTACAGCATTCTCATTCCAGATTCGAAGAAAGGCGGTGTTTGACTTGTAACAGAACCTTCACCAGCAAACTGCAGATGAAAAGACACATCCATCGAGCTCACAAAAGCAAGACGATCCCTTGCGACGTGTGCGGCAACATGTTCGTCCACAAGTCGCAAATGCAGAAACACAGGCAGGATGTTCACATGGCGGATTACACGCACAAGTGCGACATGTGCGACCTCTCGTTTAAGACGGATAACACCTTGAGGATGCACAAACGAGCCGTACATATCAAAGACTATAATTTCCATTGTGATAAGTGTGGGAAAGGTTTCTTCCACATGAAGCAGCTCTCGAATCACTGCCAGGTTAGTACGTTTTGACCCCTGCGGCGTCAAGGTCAAGGTTACATTGGTTACTGAAGTTGCAAACATCGAATGACGTTCACATTAACTTTCGAGGTCTCTTTAGGGTTGATCTCCGTTTACACGACATTGGCGAGAAACATTTCGAAATTGAGATACAGCAGACGCTCGTTAACGTAAACACGGGATAATGAAAACTTGCGCTAATGTAAACACAAACTTCGTTCTATAGGATCAAACGGAACGCGCGAACTTAAACAATGTGTACGCTCGATAACGTAAACAACTGTCGGCGCACGGAAACAGCGCGACGGTAAAATGCTGAAGCCTCGATGATTTATGTCGGGCGTCGGGGAGTCCCCGATTTATGATGCAGAGTGTAGGGGATTCACCTCTGCGATAAAATACGACAAACTCGGTCAGTCGTATGATCGTTTAGGATACGTTTATACGTACGTATGTATTTCATTTTTGAACTTAAGTGAATACATTGCACGAGTTAATATATTTTACGACTATGGCATCCACATCCTATAAAAGAAAGTGTTTAAACTATACTATAGGAAGTTTCTACTTTCGTCTGTCTTATCAAACAATCCTGAAAACTTATCTGAGGCTTTAACAAAAGTAACATTACGAGAAGCTTTTTTAGATTTACATATGGCCTGGAATGAACTTAACCAGCAAACTATTCAAAAATGTTGGAACAGTATCTTTTGTACCAATAATGAAGATGATGAAGAAGACGATGTCCCCTTAAGCGTAATTAGAGAACGTTTGCGATCCAATAATGATAATGTTATTAGACTGTCATTGGATGTTGTTGATTTGTTGAAAACAGTGAATCCCAACATTGTTTGTACTCCTGCTGATATTAATTTATGGAATGAAGATAAGCAGACGAATGATGCTGATAAGGAGGAGGATATGGACAGTGAGGATGATGAGAACGATCCCATTGAAGTCAGAAGTGTAGTGACTGACGCGCAAGCTATACAAGTTTTTAACCAAGCTTTAGATTGGGCTGAAAGAAAAGAAGTTTCATACACGGATATTTTAGTTCTTCGTAAATTACGGGCGCAGGCATTGGAAGACAATGCTAAGCGCAAATTTACGCAGACAAAAATTGTTAATTATGTTTCTTCTAATTAAAAAATACTTATCGCTGTTAGAATATTTGTTTATTTTGTTATAAATAGTATGTATTTAACGTTTCTTTCAATAAATCAAATATTATATAAATCACGTTCGCTAATGTAAACATTTCGATAATGTGAACCACACTTGGATTAAGTTAGTTTACATTATCGAGCGTCTGCTGTATTATGTTATAAACATTGGGGGTTGGAGCTATAGGTAGGACAGGAGAGACATTTCTAGACCTAACGTTGTCATATGAGTGGGGACTATGGGCTAATTGTATGGGCCTGTTTGAATGACTTGATCCATTTAATTCCTTTGTTATACATGCTCGTAGCTAACTTTGCTTTGACCTGTCTGTCAGTCATCGAGGATTTCCACGACTTTTTCTAGGTCGAGCACGAAAAGGTTCCTTTCACGTGTGGCGTATGCGGCAAGTCTTACAGATGTGAACAAAGCCTGAAAAACCACCTGCCCACGCACGATCCAAACTACAAAAAGAAAGAGTACTACTGCATAATTTGCGAAAAAGTCTTTGCAAGCAGAACGACCTTCGGCATGCACAAACGAGAACACAAGATCGGAAAACTGACGTGCGTTTGCGAAGTGTGCGGTAAAGTAGTGTCAAATCCGGGCAGTTTAAGGAACCATATGGATATCCACAGAGGTGTCAAGTCGTATAAATGCAACGTCTGCCAAGCTGGGTTTTCTAGCGCGAGCTGTCTTATGACGCACAAGAGGATCCATACTGGGGAAAAGCCGTACGCATGCGTCATTTGTGATAAACGCTTTAGGCAAAAACCGCCTCTCACCATTCATATGAGGACTCATACAGGCGAGAAACCCTACTCTTGCGACCTTTGTGACCAAAGGTTTATCAGCAAAAGCGCAATGAACAGCCATAGATGTCGTGGACCTGCAGACGATAGCACTAATGAGTATGTATGTTTAGCTAATAGGTAAATATAATATAATAATTACCGTCTATTTTCATTCCAATTCCCTTTCACCTTGGAACAACCTTGAGGTTCCAGTTCAAGGTTGCAACTGAACAGACGCGGACAATGTTGCATAAACACTGTTTCAAGGTTATTTCTCAAGGTCATAGGAGTATGAGTTACGGTTAGTATGATGTGTTACTTTTCAAAGCATCCTTAGATACCTAATGAGACTGCTGAGAATAAACAATATAGCCTACTTTATTTCCAGATTGAAGTGTCAGAATTGTAACAAGCTGTTCGACAGCAAAGAAAAAATAAAAAATCACATCCGTCGAGTCCACAGAAACAAAACGGTTCCTTGTGATGTCTGTTTGAAGATGTTCCGATTGAAAAGTGAGATGCTGGTACACAGAAAGAATGTCCATCTCAAAGTCGGGACGTTCGAATACGAATGCGATATGTGCGAGGCGCGATTGAAGACAGAAAGAACGCTCAAGTTGCATAAAGAAAAAGTACACTTGAAAAACTATACTTTTTCGTGTGATAAATGTGGCAAAGGCTTCTTTCTGCTGAGAGACTTGCAGACTCATACTAGGGTGCATCACGATAAGGAGCCTTTCAAATGCGAGGTTTGTGGCAAACCGTACCTTTCAGAAGGTAATTTCAAACTACACATACTCACCCACGATCCCGTGAAGAAGAAAACTTATCCATGTTTACATTGCGGCAAGGTTTTTGAAGACAAATATAAATTCCATAGGCATAAGAAAGAACACTTACCTGGCGGGAAGCCCAAGATAGAATACGTATGCGAAATATGTGGGAAGTCGATGGCCAGCAACACGATCTTAAAGAACCATATGAACATCCATATGGGAGTTAAAACGCACCGATGTGACATCTGCCATGAGCTGCTTTCTAGCAGGGGCTGTTTGCAAACGCATATGAGGATACATACCAACGAGAAGCCTTATGGGTGCAATGTTTGCGGGAAAAGATTCAGGCAAAAACCACCGTTGACCATTCACATGAGGATCCATACTGGGGAGAAACCGTACGAGTGTTCAATTTGTCTTAGGAATTTTATTAGCAAATCCGTTTTGAATACGCACAAATGTAATGGGCCTGAATAAATAAATTTTTAACAGTAAACAAATTATTAACTATTCGTTTTACTTTCCACGGTAACGGAGAGGAAGTTCTGTCTGTCGGTTCGTCTATGGATCTGCATACATTTCTGGTGGTCCCGAATAGTTATTTGCAGTGGTCCAGACAAGTTTCAACATCTTCTTCAAGGCATCGTCCTTTCTCATTTTTATTTTTGGAACTTGTGACTTTTGCAAATAATGGGAGCAATGGCAATTTCATCTGCGATGAACTGCAGGTCGTTATGATTATTTTCTATAGTTTCTTCATCACTTGAGGATGACATGCTTATATACTAAGTGACATATAAATCCGAACACCCAGTTTAAATGGTTTTATTTTAATAAAATTTTGTATAAGTACTTAATGATAATAAGTAAATGATAAAAATTTCAAAATGATTGCACTGCTTTAAAGCCCTTTGACCTTTAATAATGTGTGGATGCACCCTGATGTGCTACGCATTCTCCAACGCGCCTAGGCATGCTTCTGATCAGGTGGTCAATGTCCTCCTGTAGTATCTCATTCCAGCAACCACCAACTCCTCTCGAAGTGCTTCTAGAGTCTGAGGAGGTCGTTGCAAATTGAGCAATCTTCTACCCATCATATCCCAAACGTGCTCAATTGGGGATAAGTCGGGAGATCTTTGTGGCCATGGTAACAATGTGACATCATTATGTTGAAAGAAGTCTATTGTGACTCTTGCAACATGTGGTCGGGCATTATCTTGTTGGAAAGTTGGATCTGCCAGGGTGTCAAGATAGGGTAAAAGATGGGGTTCTAGAACTTCGTGGATATAACGCTGCGCGTTCATGTTACCTCTGATGAAGATTAAAGGTGACCTGGAACCATAAGCTATAGCACCCCAAACCATAACTCCAACAGTGTGATGCACATGTCTTTCAACAAAAAACTGTGGATTCCTCCTTTCATCACGTCGCCTTCTAACCCTTACACCGACGTAACCGCCTTGAGTGGTGCAGACAACGGTCACTCTGGGATCAGGAATGGAACAGTATTGTCTCTAGTGACGAGTCTCGATTTTGTTTAGGCATGCACGATGGTCGTGTCAGGGTTAGAAGGCGACGTGGTGAAAGGAGGAATCCACAGTTTTTTGTTGAAAGACATGTTCATCACACTGTTGGAGTTATGGTTTGGGGTGCTATAGCTTATGGTTCCAGGTCACCTTTAATCTTCATCAGAGGTAACATGAACGCGCAGCGTTATATCCACGAAGTTCTAGAACCCCATCTTTTACCCTATCTTGACACCCTGGCAGATCCAACTTTCCGACCACATGTTGCAAGAGTCACAATAGACTTCTTTCAACATAATGATGTCACATTGTTACCATGGCCACCAAGATCTCCCGACTTATCCCCAATTGAGCACGTGTGGGATATGATGGGGAAGGAGATTGCTCAATTTGCAACGTCCTCCTCAGACTCTAGAAGAACTTCGAGAGGAGTTGGTGGTTGCCTGGAATGATATACCACAGGAGGACATTGACCACCTGATCAGAAGCATGCCTAGGCGCGTTAGAGAATGCGTAGCACATCAGGGTGCATCCACACATTATTAAAAATCAAAGGGCTTTAAAGCAGTGCAATCATTTTGAAATTTTTATCATTTACTTATTATGCCTCATAATACAACTTATACAAAATTTTATTAAAATAAAACCATTTAAACTGGGTGTTCGGATTTATATGTCACTTAGTATACAAGCTGGAACAAGGCAGGACATGTCGCTCAAGATACAAATACCAGTCAACCTTTTACCTCTTCTTGGAGGATATCCTCGCGAGTATATGAGTATTATGAATATGAAAACAAGGATATGCTTATACATCTACCTTTTTTCACCGAAGCAAGACCTTATACTTTTACCTTATGTTTCCGAGGATATGTTTCTCTTTTATGAATACGGCTCATTATATTTTTGGATGTTATATGACATGTACATCACAAAAAACCATGTCACCCATTTCCGTCGATTTGTCTGTCTATCGATCTGTCCGCTGATCTTATTACTGCCTATACCTTGAAAAGTACTGTTCGATTAAAGCTTTTTAGAGAGAAAACGGCTCAAAATTAGAAAAGTTTCAGATGATCCCGATCACTTTTGGAAAAAAATTAGAGGTACAAAACTTGTGGGTGGGGGTTCTTCTTGACGTTATTCTGTCCATAGTAAATTGTCATTGTCGCATTTTTCAGCTCCGCTGGCAAAAAGAGTCAACGCAGCACGTCGCCTGTGCAATGTTCGTTTTGCAACAAAACTTTCAAAAATCGAAGGAGTTTGAAGAGCCACGTGCGAGACACGCATCGAGACAAATCCGTCCCATGCGACATCTGTGGCAAGCGCTTCAAGCTGAGACGCACCATGGAGAAGCATAAACAAGGCGTCCACCTAGCCGAGTACGATCACGAATGCGACTTGTGTGGAGCTAGGTTCAAAACCAAGCCTACGTTGAACAATCACGTGAAGTGTGTTCATATGAGGGAATACAAATTCCAGTGCGAGTTGTGCAACAAGGGATTTCCAGTCAGCACCCAACTGAAAGTACACAATGAGGTACATCACAACAATAATCCTTACAAGTGTGAACTGTGTCCAAAGATTTACAAGACTGAACATTCCCTGAAGAATCACATGCAGATCCATGACCCGAATCCGGTGAAGAAACAGTACAATTGCAGGCTGTGCGGGATGACGTTTCAAGCACAACACATTTTCTATAAACATAAACGAGAACACAAGGCAGGAGGAAAAGTATACTACGTTTGTGATATCTGCGGGAAACCTTTGAGGACAAGAGAAGGCTTCAAAATCCACATGAACACCCATAAAGGCGTTAAACCTTCAAAGTGCGACGTCTGTGGAATGGTCTTCGCGAACCCAGGCACCTTGACTGTACATAAGAGAATCCATACGGGAGAAAAGCCTTACGCTTGTGACATTTGTGGTAAAAGGTTTAGACAGGGTCCTCCTTTAAAGATTCACATGAGGACGCACACTGGTGAGAGACCGTATAAGTGCGAAATTTGTAATACTGGTTACATCAGCAAGGCTGTACTGAATAATCACAGGTGTTTAGGACCTACTGGTATTGTTGATGATCTCATCCAAAGAGCTTCGAACAGGTAGATGCCAACATGAAAGATATAGGTTGAACAGAATATGTTTAACCAACCGTATAGGGCGTTGTTTCATGGCTGTTAGAACATACAAACAGTTGGTATCGGTACTATCTGTAGCAAAGAGATTTTCATATACAGGGTCTGTCCGGAAAGTAATAGGACTGAGTCGATTTGAAAAAATGTATTGAGCCAATCGTTAGATTTCTTTAAAAGCTTTCGAAATAGGCTCCTTCTGCGTCGATGAAGGCGTCACGAAAGGCATTCTCCGGAATAGTCTTGAGAGCCGCCGGTGCATGCTGCTTGGATCCCCCCTGTCGTCTCAAAATGCTTGCCTTTCATCGGCCTTTTCAGGCTAGGAAACAAAAAAAAGTCCGGGAGGCCACATCTGGGCTGTAGGGCGGCTGCGGAAGCGTTGGGATGCCGGCCTTGGTCAGGTAGCTGTTCACAAGAAAGGCGGTGTGAGCCGGGGCGTTGTCGTGGTGCAACCTCCAGTCGGCTGCGATGTCTTGTCGGACCCGACTGACCCTTCGTTTGAGTCTCCTGAGCACTTCCACGTAAAACTTGGCGTTGACGGTTTGTCCAGGAGGAACAAATTCATGGTGGACGATGCCTTTGATGTTAAAAAAGACAATGAGCATCGTTTTCACTTTGGATTTGCTCATTCTTCCCTTTTTTGGGCGAGGAGACGCCGTCGTGTGCCACTCTGAAGATTGCCTCTTTGTCTCGGGATCATACTCAAAGATCCACGACTC